TATGCCTATCCTCGGCAGACCAATCATCCTTATGGCAACCGAAGGAGCAGCAACCACAACAAGGAGAAAATGGCTGGCAGAGCAATTGAAGCGTTTTTAATTGATTTCTTCTCTCAAGTTTCGCCACACTCGCATTTATTATCAGCCTTCCGTTTGCGGCTTGTCTTGCGTAACTGATCAGAATTGATGCCACTGATTTATATAATCATGCCCAACTAATCTCATCCAGTAGTTGCCATGAGTTAGACCCGGCTCGCAATTAACACGACTCAACGCGCATACACAAAATGCCGAAATGCCGAAATGCCGAAATGGTGAATGGTAAATGCTAAATGCTAAACGGCAAATGGCAATCCCAATCCCAATCCTTTCGGGTCTGAAATATTGGCCTAGCGATTTGACATATTGCCAACAAAGGAACTCATTATCTGTACATTAAAATGGGACACGACCCGCTTTGGTTGTTTGCCTTTTCAGTTCGCTCCGTGTTACCCACTCCACGGCGTGTGTGTCACGCTTATAAAACACATTTATCATAACTAATCCTTTGGGTTTTGGCTGCCATGCCTCCGGATCCGGATGCGGATGCGGATCCGCCCCCACCGCCACCACTGCTCTGTCACCGATAACACTTTGAATAATAAATAAATACAAACAGCGACATTTTGGCAAAGGCAAACTGCCAGACGGCCAGACAACGCCGGCCGATTTTTAATGCAAACGATTATCATGTAAGGCAATATAAAAATAAATTGCAGCCCGCCAACAAAAAAGAAAGAAAAAATCAAGACCAGCAGCAGGACATGGGAAATGGAAGGGATGCTGGCCTCATTGGTTCCCTTCGAGTATACACAGAACAAAATAATATATATAATCTCTACTTGAATCTATAGGGTGCTTGTTTTGGATACACCAACGAAAGTAAATGATATGTTAACAAGAAACACACATACATACAATTTATGTTAATAATAATAATAATTTTACACTAAAATTTAAAAAAAGAACATAAGACTTAGGATTTGGATCTTTACTATTTAATCGATTCTTTATTATCGAATATTTATGATCTTTTCGCAAAGTAAAAATTGTAATTTAAAACTGTTCTTTTAGAAATTTTGTTTACCATAATTAAGATATTATTTAATAAGATTAGTTTGTTCCAAATCTATTAATTTTATGTAATTAATATTTAATCATCACACAAAAAATATAGAATTAAGTACGGGGTCAGTAATCAATAATTTAAGGTAAAAAGGATCTCGTCTATCATGTCTATAATTCTTTAATTCAAATATAAAATTATAATCTTATTATTTTGTTTTCATTACAAAACTTCATTTTACTAGGTTTTTACTAGGCCTAGCCCGCCTATAAATTATACTAGGTTTTTACTAGGCTTATCCTGTCTATAAATGTTAAATATAAATAAAGGAAAAATTACTTTATTAAGCAACTTTTATTATTTTATTTCATTTATTTAAAAACATAACTTTCCTGTGTTCAAATTTTAAATATAAGGAATTCAACTTAAATAAAGAATCTTAATTATACTATTATTTCATTCATTAACATAGTTTTACGAGGCCTCAGCCGGAAGTCATGTGCCAAGGAAGGACCCTGCAAATTTATGACTCCGCCTGGTGATATTTTCTCTCCGTATAGCTCCTGCTGCTGATAGGCATCGGAGTCTAGGCCCACTTGCTGGCAAGGACCCAGCTCGCCGCTAATAACAAACAGGCAGGGCGACACTTTAGTCCCGAAACGGAGGACAATCGAGTATCTCCTTCGAGTCCAACTCCGGCCTCATCGGTTCCAGTTCTCGGTCTCAGTCTCAGAATCAGAATCAGAATCAGCTCCTGCTGTTGCTGTTGCCTCTTGGCAGCATTTAAATAAATTTCACACGTACATATAGAGCAGCGGTTAGTGTTTGGGGATAAAGCGGGAATGGATGGCCGGAGTGCACAGAGGGGACGAAGCTTTCCGTTGCTGTTGGCGACAGCGTTTGGCTTGGACTGCCCTGGTAGCCATTAAAGCCAATTGCCCACAAAATCATGCCCGATATCATAATTGCTCTTCGTGGTTTCAACACCCTGTAATCCCTCAGCAGAAAGTCGGGCATGAATGTTTTCTGATGCCGTGTGGATTATGCAATTTATAGGGTATTTTTAAGAAGGCAGTTAGAGGATTCTTTTAATAAACAAATAACAAGAGTAAGATGCTACAGTCAAAGCCCATCATTTGTAATATAATCCCCTGACACTCCATTGTTTCAATTTTAAATGATGATATAACATAAAGAGGATTAACGTTAAAAAGACTGAATAAAATAAAATAAAATAAATTAAAAATCATGCCCACCTTTAAAATAATGTTAGTAAGTCTCAGAAATATATGCAACATCGAAATATTATTTAAAATCCATTTTAAAAGTGCCCATTAAAAAACAGAAACATTTTAAAAGGAAACAGTTGCCAATAAATATGTATTAATCAGAACACTTAAATATTGAAGAGCTTAAACAAATGACTCTGAAAATAATGAATAACATTTTTTTTCTCCAGAGCCTTTAGGGTATTTCCAATTCGTCAGTCGCCAAATCGCAAAAATCGATGTTCAGCATCGTTTAGTTAGCGCCAACGGGCAGTGCAATGGTTAAACGAGTTGGACGAGTGGACCCCGAGCTCGTGGCTCATATAAAATATTGTTTATTCAGTTCGAGGGAAACTGGCAGTGAAAGGGTGGATGGGGGTAATGCGGGGGGTAAATCGCAGTTGCGATAAATTTAAACACTTGTTGTAGTTGCCGTTGCACAATTTATTAGAAACACTTTGTGGTTCTGTTGGTTTTTTGCATGCGTAGCCGATGGTCCTATTAAAACGTCTCATGGCCAGTTGCAGTTTTATTGAATTTGCGACACTGAGCCATCTATTTCAGCATAAGAAAACAAATACAAATAAACGTTTTGTATCGACCGCTTCATGTTGCCAAAGGAAGTTCAAAGTGTAAGCGGGATACCCATTTCGTTTGTTTTGGCCACTTGAATTCGGGCCAAGTTAATTAACACTAACGGCTCGTTCTAAAGGAGCAGCCAAACTAAACAAGGATTGCTGCTCCGCGAGGAGTCCTCGAATGCTAATGAAACGTTCGCTGCATAAATTTAATTGTTTATCTGCCGTCTGAGCTGGCTGAAGGCCAGGACCCGCCAAATGCCTTTTGGCCAGCAGCATCATGTGGGGAAAAAGCCCGACTAAGAGCCGGAGAAAGGCGGAGAAAGCCGGAAACTGGATTTTGGAGTGGCAGTAGAAATGGAAGTATTTGTGGATGTGGAAGTGGAACTTTACGCAAGCATATGGCGCACGGGTGTTTGGCAAGTCATTGGCAATGCCGATGCCACGATGATGACTTTTAAACTTTCTATTAAACTATAACAGCGATGATAGATGAATAATAAAAGCACCAAATACATAATAAAAAAGTTTAGCGTCATTGGCGACAGGCGGTTTGGCTTTTCCTGCCATTTCGAGGCCCATCAGCGAGCTGCTTTCGCTTCGAATCAGCCAGCCATATTTGTTCATGGAATTACACTGAGCTAAATCGGTTTCTTGGCATTTCAAAATTGTTGCAATGGTCCATAACAAAATGAAATTGCAACATTTACATTTTTTCAATCCAAAATGAGGCCCAGTGATATATGGAATTGGTAAATTTTGTAATTTTTCGACATTTATAAGTGTGTGTTATTTTTTGGATGTATTGTCTTAAAATAATCAAGCTACATATGCTCACAATCTGGTAACAACACTTTAAGAGTATTAAATAAATCTTTTAAAAACGTATACTTTTATATCTGTTGAACCCTTGATTAAAAGAGATTTTATACTAAATTTGGTTTTCAGAAAAATTGAAAAAATTAAAATAATAAATTGAAACTGCTATTATTTTATTCCAGTGCAGGATGGAAAATCGGTATATGGGTTCGTGCTGCAGACGAAGACGGATGCTGCTGCATTTGCGGTGAGAGTGCGTGCCTCGCATAAGTTAGAACCGTTAACTGGCAGCAGGACGAAGGACGAAGGACGAACTGGCAGGGAAGAGCAGGAACTTGGCCTGGCAGGCAAACTATGGCAGCATAGCAGATCGAACAGATTGATGAGTTGTTGAAAAATGGCAAACTTAAACAACAATTCCGTGCCGCAGAATGGGGAGCACGGGAATGACTAACGATGAGCAGAGAGTGCGGCCTTTGTGCGTAATTTCGCATTTGGTTTGGTTTGCACATCAAGCTCGGGAAAAGGAGAAACAAAAGGAATGCACATAATATCCAGTTTACAAATAAATAATAATAGCAATTCCCTTACTAAGCTATTTTTATTTTTACAGTTGGTTGAATTTAATTAAATTTCAAGTTGGGAAAAATAAAACATCCTAGATAAAAATAATAGTTTTCATCAATACAAATTATAAATAACCAATTTATTTTCTGGATCTGTAGGCTATAAGAATGTTTTGTTTAAGGACAGGGGTAATTTAATAATAAAATACATATTATGATTACGTTTTAATTTTTCATATAAATAAGGGTACTAAGATCAATTAATAAGTTTTTATGGCAATTTAAAAGGGCTCACTTTAAAATTTTATGAACAAAATAAATATTGGATTATTATTTGGTAAAAAAGAGATAGAACTATTTATTTTTCATTGGAGTTTTATGAATCAAAAAAATGTAATTTGGTTCAGATACTTAAACAGTTTATGTGGACTTCTCTTTAAAAAAGTCATAAAAACAAGTCTGGAGAAAATTAGATTTTTGGTTAATATACAGGTTTCAAAACAGAGCTTTCAACTAATTAAAAAAAAATTTTTTTTTGGAATAACAAAGTTTTAATAGATTTTGAATAAATGTTTGTGAATAATATTATAAGGAGATTTTACATTTGTTCGCCTTATTAGATGATCTTAACCTTTTTAGACCCAGTTGACCTTGCGTTTGACTTTCAGATTTTTGGGTGAAAGAAAGTTTTGTCTAAAAAAAGTTACATTTCCTAGTTTGAGTTGCCGCATCCGAGATTATGAGCCTGGACTACAAACACTGGCTGCTGCAAAGAGTGGCGGCCTTCTATCACTCGATCTACTTCTACGTGTCGCTCTTCTCGCTGGGATACTGCCTTCTATTGTACCAGGCGCGGGATCGGATCTACCAGATGGAGTTGTCCTGGGCCAGGATATCGCTGGTCTACAGCTGTGCCGGGATCCTGGCCCTGATGCTGACCCTGGTGGCTTACTACACCTGGGTGGCCGTAAGACTGGTTTGGCGGCAATATTGCACTCATAGCCGCGCCACTCAACGCACTCGATTCCTGTTCGACTTGTACAGAAAACAGCAGGTGGGGGCTTTGAAGTAGATGCGGATGGTTCTGGCATTATGATCTGATTAATCCTCGAATTGCTTTCAATAAATTAATCAGTTTTGGCATCAAATGGGCGCTGGTGGCACGGCAATATGCAAATCGTTTAATCAAAATGTAAATGCAAATGCGAAAAATTAAAATGTTCTCTCGTCAGAAGTCGCGCAAACAGACATTTTGTAAATATTATTATTACGTCCTCGTTTTTTTTTGTCTCCTTTGCGTTTTGCGTGTGTGTCCATTTATTTATATTTTGTGGGGGGTCGTTTATGATTTTTTTGGCTCCCTTTTTACTGCTGCATGGCGATAAATTTGCATTTAAATCACCGCCACCCCCGCCAATTGGTTGTGTGAGCTGTCCTGGTTTTTCGGGGTTTGTTCCACGGCTAGACAATGGTACCTTGTGTGTATATATATGTTATAGGTATATGCATAGCCGGGCGTTATTAACCACAAAGTGTCACATGATTTTATTTCGTTTCGCTCCGTGCATTTCACCTGCAGCTTGCTTTTTGTGCCCATTATTTTTGGGCTGACTTCTGTCCGATGTTAAATGCTGATAAGCTCCAAAGGACATTTTGCAACATAAAATAGCCGTAAGTAGCACTTGTCTAGCGAGTCAGTAGTCGGCAGGCAGGACTCCTTAGACTCCAGGACTTCAGGACTTCAGGACATCGGGACTGCACTGCAGTGCAGTTAGGCGAGTGCAGCTGGGATTGCAATCGCCATAAAGTGCGCCGTCGGTCGTCGTCGAGGGCAAAATTGAAGTGCAAATAAAACGCCGAGCAGTTTGGCTCCTTTTTTTTGGCATTTCGGGACATGGCGAGGATACTCCGCGTTTCGTCGCATATTTCAACAAATTTTTTACTGCACTTTGTAGTTTGTGTTTATTTTTTTTTCGACCAGTTTCCCCTTTTTGTGTCGCTTAAATGTCAGTGAAACAAGCCAGCGGAAATGGTCGGAAAGTATTTGGTTTGTTATGCTAAAATTTAAGGGCTCAGGAAGTCGTATTAAAGAGCAGAAAGCCAAGACAACAAAAATAAATAAATATTACGAAAAAAAAACAAGAAAGAAATAAAGAAGCCATGACAAACGATTCGTTGTTCGATTTGTTCGGAGTATTTTCATTTATTTCACGTTTGATTGATTATTGCTAGACATCCGACCGACCAATGCAAACGAGTTTTTGTTATTTTAATTTTTTGCATTTATTTTATCTCCCATTTTTCTGGCCTAGCCTTTTGTTGGTACTATTTTAGATTGCATAAATATTGCGTGATTTCTCGTAAATTCCAATGTTTATTTTATGCAAATTTCTTAAATTAAATCGAATGTGAAAAACACCTTTCGAGTGTATAAATGTGCAAATTATTGGTGGAACTTTAATTAGCTGCCGTTTATTATGATATTCAGCTTCATAATGAGTTCTGATTTACGCCTCTCCAGCGATAATCTTCAGCTATAAAAACCCTCGCAACCGTTCATTTGCATGACTGTCAATTTGTGTGTGAGGCTTTATGATTTCAGGGTAAAAAACAACTAATAACACAAAGAAATGTTTCGGTTGGGATACTCCGTTTAATTAAATTAAGTTCAGTACTTTAAAGTTTAATACAAGCATACACTAGTAAATGCCATATATTTATCCGGTGAGTAAAATTTAAAAAAAATTCTGATAAATATAAGAAAAAATTTAAATATTTAAAATGTATATTTAATTTTATTATTTAATGTATTGCTAATACAAGAAAAAAATATATATATATTTCTTTATAAAAGTTATTTAATTAAGAGATTTATTAAAAATCTTAATATTTTCAAGAGACCTCGCTAACGTATAACCATTATTACAATTGCAGTATTAAAAGTGGATATTCAATTCAAGCAATATAAAATGCGGCAAATGGAAAACCAATCTCTGCCCATAACCTATTTGACTTCCATCGAGGAGATTCCCCTTTTTCAAGTCTTCCTGTTGCCATGGCCATTGCCATGTGGCAGTGATGTTTATCAATATATCAGAATAAATAAGCCATTTTCGATTCGCTGGCATATGCACTTGTCACCCATCTGCATCGCAGCCTGCCAGCGTCTTGGCTTTGGCAAGTCCAATCTAATGCTGCACGATTTGACACATTGAAAAGTCAGCAGAAAGCCTACCAGGATAACCCGCCAGCCAGGATAAGCCGACTGTGAGTGTGTGTGTGTGTGTGCGAAATTGAGTTGAAAGAACCAGGAAGAGGAAAAGGGAGCACATAGAGCCGAATATATAGAATGGAATGGCTGGGAACCCAACTCACCAGCCCCAAACTATGCGCATCATTTTATTTGGGCACGTGCTGCTCGTCATTTAAGAGTTTTGTCTGCACTTTCGTTGCTGGAATTTTAAAATATTTTCCGTGCCAAATGCCTGCGTGGCTTTTACTTTTCGCCCTTTTGTCCCAGAGTCCGTTCAGGCACCCTTAACCCTCTAAAGCCCTCCTCCAACGAGCAGGCTGTGTGTGGCCACAATATGACTGTTGCTGCATACATATATATACACATATATATGTATGCATGTATATATGTAGTATACAAAGTCCCTAACAAAGTGCCCAAGTGGAATGCAACATTGTTGCTCCACAGCATTCAGATGCGGCGGCATTTTCTATTTCCATTTTTGTTTTGGCATTTTTTAGTTGCCTTCATTTCTCTCTCGCGCCGAGCGCCGTCATTTCCACTGACTGCGTTTCATTTGCCTTTTGCAAGGACTCGGCTCGGCCTCTTCCCGGGCACAGGATACCAGGATATACCCGACCGAGACAGACGCTTCACCAGTAATTTGGTATGCCTTTTGTTGCCTGCCACCGATCCTGTCCCCAGTCTCCACACTCGCAGGAAAAATCAGCCAGAAGGCTGAGAATCGACCCAAAGCGAGAAATAATTTATATTTATAAAACACATTGTTGAGTTTAGGAAAAAAAATTTCACAGCTGAAATAATGTACCCACAATTACCTACAGAGTACACTTTAGTAAAGATTTTTTCAACCAATATATCTAGTTTAATGATAAAACTAATTGTATTTTAATTTAAAATTGTTATTTCATTGATTTATACAGAGTTTTTATACAGAGTTTTATTTACAGAGAGAATTAAAAAAAAAACGTTTGCAAATATTTTTGACAGAAATTATTTATTTATTTAATTTTATTTATTTAATTATTTAATTATTATGCAAATAATAAAAGCATAAAAAGTAAATAATTTTTTTTTATTACATAATCAATTTTTTTGTTTAAGTTTTTGCTTAAATTATCCTTAAAAAAGATTTTGCTAGTCAAATTATATCTGTTAACATTTTATTGAAGTAGTTTATTTGTTGTTAAATTCAAGCATGTTTTTAGATAAGTATAAAATAAATAATTCAATTTAAAAACTAGATAAATAAAAGTGGGGCATTTTTTTGAAGTGCTGTCTCTTTTTTTATAAACCTCCCACTTTCCTCCACTGATTGCAGAAAAAACTATTTGCACTTTTAATTTGAATTACAAATTTTGTTCGGCTGGAAAAAAAAGGGGAAAAATATAATCAAATTGGCGGGCATATGTAGACGTGTTTATCCGTCTGGTTTAAGGACTGAGCCAACTGGCTTGGGCCGTCCTGCGTTTCAGCGCTTAAACACTCGCGAGTTCGAATTTAATTGACTGTTGGCCATATTTACATAGCCCGACTGTCTGGCCGGTTGCCGTTAATTGTCCCGCTGGCACATTATGGCCACTATGGCCACTGGATACCCGCAAACACACTCAAAAACATGGGCTATGCATGGGCTATGACATCATTGTTGATGCTGCAATTACCAAATCACTAAGCCCCACACACCCAATACACACACTCTGTGTTCGCACACCATTGTAAATACGTCCGCGGAATTCGCAAATACTCCCATTGTTTATGTTCACGTTCGCCCAAAATCGTTTAGATTGCTAAATAATAGTGACAGACCTTTTCCAATCACAAGCAGATATTGTCAATTGTTTGAAAGTGCTTGCGCCGGGGGCTGTTAAAAAATCAAGGGATATTTCAGTTGGAATCGACTACACTCACTACACCCCACTATAGTTATTTGGTATTTGAGCCAATAATGAAATAAAAAAGTTTGCAAAATCTTTAATTTTGCTTGGTATTAAAGTAATTATTTTACGATTAGTTAAACAAATAACAATTAGTCAATTGTATTTTTAATGTTTTGTAATTATCCATACAAATTATGTACATTGCTAAAGTGGCGAAATAGTTAATTAGATAGTTAATTAAACTTTTTTATTGAAATAATCATATTATACCTAAGTATGCATTAAATAGTTTCTCAAGCAAGGGAATCTCTTCTATGTATAACATGATTTTAATAACATATACGTTTATCAAAAGTTATTTTAAATTATCATTATATAATTGTTTTCATTTAAGACAGAGAGCTAATAATATTATACATACGTCAAATTTAATGTATAAAATAATAATAAAACAAAATTGATATTAAGAAACTTAATGCAAAAAAATGCGTATACTAAAGTTGTAAGCTTTACTTATTATGTTTTCTTTACCCCACAACACAATTTAAAGATTATAAAATATTTGACAAATTGCTTTTAAATTTTAAATGGCTGCTAGGAAACATCACATCAAACAACTGCAACTAATAAATTTACCAATTCAAAACAGTACCAAATTGCTTAAATAAGCTACAACGAACTGTTTATGACATTCATAAACATTAACAATTATAATGTATGTATAATTCTAACATTAAACTGTGAATATAAGAATCTCTTCTATCGAAACCACTTATTCCAAGTGAGACAGGTTAAAATGTATTGCAATAATCTAGTTAGCTTTTGCCTAACAACCAACAGTAAACTAGACTCGCTCAAATCCTAATACATGAGTATCGATAAAGGATAAATTTGAAGTGGTCGCTTGTCTGGTTTCGAACAAGGCCTGTTTACCACCCATCCATATGTATGTGGGTACCTTATTTTTCCATTTCCCTTCTTTTTTTTTTGGGGGGAGCTGGGGGCACCCGGAATAAACAGTTAAAAATGCCGCAAAAGTGCGCATACGACACGTTGTACGAGAGGCGCTGTCGTAGCTGCGAGCAAACAAGCCCGAACACTTCGGCCAGGACATCCTCGTCCCCAT